TTTTTTTTTTTTTTTGCAAAACATGCATCTAATAAGGGATTTGCACCTAAGCTATCCAAACAACTCTTTACAACTTGAGGAAATAAACTAATTTTAAAACGAACCAAGAATTTGAATATAAATTTCTTCAAGGAAAATACACAAATGGCCAGCAAGCTTATGAAAACAAACATACCCTACATCATTAGTCACTAGAGAAATGTAATCAAGATCACAATGCTTTCTAGCCACTAGACTAGGTACAATAAAAAAGTCAGAGAGGTGTGTGTAGTGGCACATGCCTTTAATCTCATCACCTGGGGAGCAGAGACAGGAGGCTCTCAGTGAGATTGAGGCCAGTCAGGTCTGTAAAGCAAGTTCCAAGTCAGTTGGGACTACAGGGAGATCTTGTATCAAAAAGACCAAAAAAAAAAAAAAAAAAGTCAGATCAATACATGGTGCAATCAAATTAACTACAGGAGGATCACTTGAGCCAAGTCCCAGAGTTAAACACCAGTCTGAGCAGCCTAGCAAGACTGTCTCAAAAAAAGAAAGACAGGGGAAGGGGTCAGAGATCTAAAGAAGAACTTACTTCTTCTGACTTCTGTCACTTCCCTAGACCAAAGTAATTTCTTACTATATTCTAAACATGTATCCTTTTATTTACAAACAGGTATAGCTCTCACCACTCACCAAAGAAGCTTCTTTTTGTAACAGATGGAGACTATTACAAAGTTCCACAACTGGCCAAACACAGAAAAATAAGTGACTGTGAAGTGCCTAGTCCCAAGTGATACATCTAACAATGCAACTTCTACACCTAAGGCTCAGAGAACGTCACAGAACAGGGGACAGAAAGATTGTAAGAACCAGAGGAACAAGACAGCTGCTGCTAGATAATGCATTCTAGACATGATTGAGAAAGCTACACTCATGAAATCTCCACAGTATGGTGATCTAAAGAGATCTGCATAATGACAAAACCAATGGGGAAATTTTACAGGGTCCCACCCAAAAATGAAGAGCTACAAGCAATAAATGGATGCTGAGGGAGGGGGAGAGAGAGAGGGAGAGGGAGAGGGAGAGGGAGAGAGGGAGGGGGGGAGAGAGAGAGAGAGAGAGAGAGAGAGAGAGAGAGAATCAGTATTCTCCAGGGACTGTTAGCTACCTGAGAGGCTATCTAATCCCAAGTAGGCAGCCCTAAACACAAGCACATACAAGCAACAATTTGTATTATATATGCATATCAGTGCATTATATATGTGTGTGTATTTGTAAATATAGCAATAATGATCAAAGAAAAGGACAAGATATTGAGAGGGAGTCAGGGGGAGAGGGACTTGGGAGGAGTTAGAGAGGGACCAGGAGGGATGGAAATAATGCAATACAATATTCATGTATGAAATTCTTAAAATAAAGTTTAAAACAAAGAGAATGTGAAATTTGTCACTGTTCCTATAATGTGAGTTTGCCACTAATTCCCTTTCAAAATTATCCACACAAAGTCCTTTAAAGTAATCATGTTATTTCTTAAAGAAAGCAATGCTATTAAAATATTCAAAAATACATAAATACATAAATAAAAGGGGGGGCTGGAGAGATGATTCAGCAGTTAAGAGCACTGGCTTCTCTTATAGAGAACCTGGGTTTGATTCCCAGCACCCACATGGCAGCTGACAACCGTCCATAACTTCTGTTCCAAGAGATTCCACTCCCGTATGGTTTCTGCACAACCTCCACAAGGCTGCCGTGAGACACATGCCCAATACACACATATATTCATACACACAAATAAGTGCAAATAAAGGAGAGTGAGAAAAGATACAGAGCTCTGGAGCTGGGGACATAGCTTAGTGGTAAAAGTGCTCAACTGGTATGCAGGAGTTCAGTCCTGTCATCAAAACAATTTTTTTTCAATTTTTATGTTTATGAGAGTTTTGCCTGCATGTATCTAAGGGTGCCATGTGCATGCAATGCCTGGGAAAGCCAGCAGAAGGCACAGGATCCCCTAGAACTGGAGTTATAGATGATTGTCACCTGTCATGTGAGTGCCAGGAACCAAAACCAGGTCCTCTGCAAGGGCAGCCAGCGTTCTTAACTGCTGAGGCATCTCTCCAGCCCCACCAAACAAACTTTTTTTTAAGAGATACAGAATCCTGCACCTGCACCTTCCCCTAAAGATGTCTCCTGCCTGCCTCTTTAGCCTCTTTACAGTCCATTCCTGGAAGCACACCTCCTCACTCCTCCACCACCACTACCCCTCCCCCACCCCCCACTCCCACCCCTGTAACTACAGTTCAGAATTCTTCACAGAAGATAAGAAAGCCTGCTCTAGAAATTCCTATGAGTGAACTCGTATAACAAGTTTGGGGGAGGGGGGTGTCTGGCTACATTTTGCTCAGCATGATGTTTATGCTGTACCTGTGTTTCACTGCACTGCTGAGTATGATACACTGCATAGATACAATTCTGCTGATGGACAATTCTTTTTTGTTGCTATTACAATAAAATCTGAGTATTCTTAATTGTCTTTTCATAAATATACTTTCATTTCTTTTATGTAAATACCTAGGGCAGATATAGTCTAACTTTATGGAAACTGCCTGACTGATTTTCAAAGTGGTTGTACAGTTTTGCACTGCCACCTGCCATATATAAAAATTGTGGTTGATCCATGTCCCCACCAAGAGCCGAAGTTCATCTTTTGAATTTTAGTCATGTTAGTGAACATGTAGGTTTTAATCTGCATTGCCCTGATGACTAGTGATGATGCTAAAAAGTCTGTATTAGCCTTTTGCCCATTTTTAAATTTGATTATTGTGGTGGTTTGTTGAGAAATGCCCCACCCCCAAACTTTAGTGCCCAATCAGTGGTCCTGTTTGGAAAGTCATGAAATCTTTGGGAGGTATATCCTTGCTGGAAGAAGTATGACACTGGGGACAAACTTTGAGATTTCATAGCCTCACCCCACTTCCAGGTTGCTCTCTCCGTATCA